ACAGCTGGGCACCATGCTGGTTTAACTACAAGGGGCCCCAGGGTGCCCAACTTAGCCCTAGGGTGAGTCCCAGCCCCCAGGCATCAGTACTATTCCTGATATTCTGTAAGAAGCCAAGGCCAAATGAGGGGGAAAAACTGTTTAGACACTCACTAAGCTTTTTTTTTTTATTCTTGTCTCATTGCCAGAGACTTTGTTAGCTGTGCAGATCTTTTGCAGAGGTAATTGCACAAAAGGAGGAAGTGTCCTGCCTGAATCTATTTCCCTTTTTTTTTTTCTCTTGGCAGATGAGCTGCATTTTCACATTTGAGTTTGCCCCTTGCATTGTGTAACACTGAAGCGAGGTGGCCCGTCCTATACAGATTTATAGAATACCATCAAGTGAAATCCTCCTCGATTCCTATAATTTGCCATGGGGATCTTTGTCCACTATGGGATGACTTTGTCCTTTAGGATTTATGTGACTTTCAAATCTGAGTTTCACAGGAAGAATACCAATCCCTGGAAGAGAATTTCACAGGTGTAACATTTCTGTGAAAATATAATTTAAATTTCCATATCCCAATTCACTGGGATTTCCCAGAGAAACCTTAAACCCCCGTTCTGTTCCCCACTCCTATATACACACAGATTAATAAAATCCAGAGTACAATCTTAATGTTTAAACAAACTGAAGAAGATAGAAAAATTTTAGAAGTGCTACTGTTACTATACTCTCAATTTCATTCACATCCCCTGGCAACAGTGACATGGTCCTATGTCCATCCAATCCATTACCTTATTAACAAGCCTTGAAGCAGTAAGGGATTGTTTCAAGAAGGTTCAGAAGAGTTTTAATGGTTTAAGAAGTCAGTGTGTACTAAGAAAGTTTTGAATTTACAACACCCTACTTATTATAGGCTGCCTCTCTGCAGGCACAGATTAATTTGAGTAGCTTCTGTATTGTAAAATGACACATTCATCAAGATGATTTTCTGTATGGACCTGCCATGAGGCTCTTGACAGAACCTCAAAAAATGAAATGCTGGTGACATGTAAAGTGACAAAACAGGGATGAAGAAATGCTGTATTGTATCACCTGTTCTCATTTCATGCTTCCTTCACCCAAGGAATAACTACCATGTGAGTCCTTGAAAGTCTGTAGAAATTCATCAAAAATACAACCTGCAGATTTGGATTGGAATTTTCTAGACCAAAAAAAAAAAAAAAAAAAGGAGATGATAATATTTGCTCATTTGGGCTTCATATTATTATTTATAGGATGGTTCTAATTTTTCTTTAAACAGACAAATGTCTCAAGTAATATTGGTCATCACATGGAAAGTGATTTTTATTGAAGCTTTTAACCGTGAGTTTTATCTGAAATACCACAATAAAACCATACTTGTTTAAGACTGTAGCATCTGATCTTGCTTCAGTTCAATCAATATAAAAAATCACATTTATTTATTGAGCTCAAATTATTGGATCAAACAAGCATTTTCATAAGTCTTGACAAGCTCTTAAGTATTTATTAAGCATTTCAACTAGCTGATGTGTAATTTCCATGTGTTCTGTATTTTCATTATTTCTCTAGCTTCCCAAAAAGAAGTTTGTGCAATATGGTTAAAATTTTACCCTTGGAATATTTAAAATATGTATTTATTAATTTCTGTATACTTGAAAAAAGAAAAATGAAGTTGAAAACTTGGGTTCTCACTTCTTGCTAATTTGGGTAAAATAAATGCATGTGCAGGATTTAGGCACAGCTATTTGAACTGCTGTTCTTACTTAACCAAATAATGCTCTGTTTCTGATGAAATTTTCATCACTTCAGTGGTTGAAATGCAACCTGTCTCATTTCTGGATGTGTATTGCAATTTGCAATGTACTTTGATTTCTAAAAATATTGAAAGTTGTTAACAAAATGGCCATGAAGAAGAAATGTAAATAAAACAAATTTCAAAGTCGAAACTGTATAAGGATATTCTTCAGTATAGCATTTGCCAGAGTAACCCACATTGTGCTAACAATCATTACAATTTCTGTCTGAACATCTGTTTTGGTTTTTTCTCCCTGAGTTTTCCTGGACAAAGTTAATTTCTCTCAAAATATTTGTGGGAATTGAGAGTCCAATCTACAGTTTCTCTGCGGAGAAAAGTCCAGCCAAGAACCTTTTATTGTTCCCTCATCTTCTCATTTATTGTGCTTTTTGCTTTCACTGTAGCAGTTAAATGTCATTCTTAAAGTTTACTCTTCTTTTCTGCACATAGGAACTGAAGACTCATCTCTTAGGTGTGCATTAATAGTGTTTTGGAAGTTTCCTCAATGCTATTTCTTCTCTTGCCAGCCTTGCTCTTACAAGTTCTTGTTACAGCTTGTTCTCTTCTCTCCACTTTCCTCTGATGCGTTTTCTTAAGCCAAGTCTGACAATTTACCTTTTCATCTTGTTTTCCCTCACCATCTCCTTTCAGCAAAATTCAAGCTCTCGTACTAAAACTCCCACTTCATATCCAATAAAGAATAGAATAGAATAGAATAGAATAGAATAGAATAGAATAGAATAGAATAGAATAGAATAGAATAGAATAGAATAGAATAGAATAGAATAGAATAGAATAGAATAGAATAGCAGCCTGTGCTAGGATCAAATAACAGCCTGTGTTTGCTATTTACACTTGAAATCTTTCTCTGGTCACTGGTTGGACTGCATTCATAAGAACTGTGACCACAGTTCCCTAACCTACACAAACACCAGCTTCTTATTTCCAGTAATCTGTATTTTTAAAAGAACACTTCCTGCAGCTGGTTTCTTCCTTTTTACTTACTGTTTTTACATTTATCCCATTTCTGGAGTGATGTCTATTCTGACTACACCAAGTGCATTTCATTTATTTACAAAAAACAAACAAACAAAACTAAACAAAATATCAAAACAAAACAAAACAAACCCTAATTTGAACATATTTGGAATCACTGAAGTACTTGCATTTTCAAATCTTCTTTTTGCTAAATACTGAATTTGGGCTTCTTCCAAATTGTGGTGCTTGTCATCCTTCAATAAAGCTCACCTTTTACCTGTCTTTTATCTGCCACCACCTCCACATGCCCTCTCCCATCTAAGATTTTGCTAGATGCTCCTGTTTCCTTCTCTTTTCTCTATTTTTTTCATTAACTCTAATTTTTCTATGTTCTTCCCTCACCTTCCAAGTTCTCTGCAGCCCCTTCATTACTTTGCCCAAAGACAGCCCAAAGACATTACTTTGTCTGCTCAGTGTTTCTGTCGTCTTGATTTTGCTACTTTAATCTTCTTGTCACTATGCTCAGTGCCTTTGGAGAGAGTCTTAACACTGTCTTAACCAAGTCTTATTTTGGGAGAATGCTAGAGAGTAGCTTTAAGGAATACTTCGGGTTTGAAGGTATTTGTTTGTTTGTTGAAACACTACCTCTGGAACAAAAATGGGAACATATTGGCCTTGATGCTGACACAGAATAGGGCAGTTCATCGAGCTTATGACTTTTTCCAATGGTATCTTATGCACAAACTGTTACAGGTTCTGTTAGGCCCTGCCTGTGTCAGCACCCACAACATATAATCATCATTAGGAAGGCCATCAACAAAGTTTGACAGTGTTGTTTGACAACATAGGTAACAGTGCAGGAACACACAACTATTGTCCTCTAAAGGAAAACAACCATTCAAAAAAGGCTGGTAGCTGGTGAAAACAAGTGATTAATTTTAAAAGCTGGGGAAAGATATAGATGTGTTCCATGAAAAAAACAGGGAAGACTCTGTGTTTATTCAAGAGGTGTATGTCAAATACTTCTATTTAAAGGAAAACAAGTCCATAGAATGATCATGTCTAGTGGGCAACTTAATCTTGTACTTACATACTTTTCCCCCAGACACGGTACAGACCCTGCCACCACTTTTCATTGCTCTGGAACGAGCTCCCTTCAGCACAACACCACGGACACAGTGTGTATCTGACATCGTGCAGCTCCGTTCCCGTTCCCCTGCATGTCTGTGCCCCGTTCCGTTCTCTGCTGGCTTCCGGCCACCTCTTATTCCCTTGTGTCCTTGCTCCTGGTGCTCCAGCCTCCCTCCGCTCCTCAGGAAGCCATGCTGCACCCTCGAATGCGGGCGCGGTGGTGACTCATTTAACCCGGCTTGTGTGTCTCTGCCGGGGCTGGTGTGCAGGACTCGGGATCGGCCCCACGGCAGGGTGCGAGGCCGAGCAGCCCCGCGGGCTCGGCGGCAGGGGAAGGCGGGTGCCAGGCACGGGCTGTGGGCGCTCCGTGCGGGAGGCGCTGTAGCTTGATCCCCGTGGGCACCAGTTGTGTACGGGGGGCCGGGGCTGAGCTGTGCTACTTAAACAGCCCCGGCAGACCGGGGGCAATGGCATCCTGGCTTGTATTTGAAATAGAGTGGCCAGCAGGGATAGGAAAGTAATTCTGCACTTATACTCAGCACCTCGAGTGATGTGTCCAGTTCTGGGCCCTTCAGTTCAAGAATATGGAGGTGATGGAATTGGTCCAGAGAAGGCCAGTGGAGCTGGTGAAGGGGCAGGAGCACACGTCCTATGAAAAGCAGCTAAGGGAGCTGTGTTTGTTTAGCCGGGAGAAAAGAAGGCTCAGGGGAGACTTTGCCACTCTACAACCACATGAAAGGACGCTGTAGCCACGTGGGGGTCGGCCTCTTCTCCCAGACAACCAGCGACCGTACAGGAAGACACAGCCTGAATTCGCGCCAGGTTGCGTTTAGGTTGGATGCTAGGAAGAATTCTTCACAGAAAGGGTGTAAGACATTGAAGTGAGCTGCCCAGGGAGGAGGTGGAGTCATCTGGTCTTGGAGTGTTTAAGGAAAGACTAGACGTGGGACTGAGTGCCATGGTCTAGCTGACATGGCGGTGCTTGATGACAGGTTGAATTCGATTATCTCAGAGGTCTTTTCCAACCTAATTGATTGTCACACCGTGTAGCTGGCGCCGAAGCGGCCCCAAGCCGCACGCCACCATCGCCCCGCCCGCTACCTTGTCCGCCGGCCCCCCTCTCCCGGCATGCCGCGGGGCGGGGCGGCCCGGCCCGGCCCCCTGCTCGCCCTCAGCCGCGGCGGGCGGGCTCCGCCCCGGGCGGCACCGCGGGTACCTGCGCGGCGCGGGGCGGCCGCGGGGCAGAGCGCGCCGGCGGTGGCGGAGCGACCTGCGCACGCTTCTCCTGTCCGCGGCGGGGGCGGCCGGGCCATGGTGCGTCGCGCCCGGCTGGCGCTGGTGGCGGCGGCGCTGGTGGCGCTGGGGGCGCCGCCGCCGCCATGCGCGGCCGCCCGGGCGCTGGAGTGGTACACGGCGTGGGTGAGCACGGTCTACGTGGAGCCGCTCAGCAACCGCACGGTGCACGGCAGCACGGAGAGCGGCCGCTACGGGGACAGCTCGCCCAAGGAGAGCGCTCGGGGCCATGTGGGCATTCCCCGCGGCGCCTCGCCCCGCCACATGGAGGGCTGCGCCGCCGACACCGACTACGACGTGCCCCTGCCTCCCGGCGGCCGCGGGTCCCCCGAGGGCGACCCACCGACCTGGATCGCCCTGGTGGCCCGCGGCGGCTGCACCTTCAAGGACAAGGTCACCAACGCGGCGCGGAAGCGGGCGGCCGCTGTGGTCATCTACAACGAGGCCCGCTTCGGCAACAGCACCGTCTCCATGTCCCACCTGGGTGAGCTCCCCGCGCTCGCCGAGGGGTCGGGGGAATCGCTTTGTCTAGCGCGGCCCGCATCGGTGATGCGGCTCTGCGCAGTGAGGAATGGGCATGTGGGGAGGCAGAAATCCCTGTAAAAATGGTACAGAAAACCGGAATTTTGTTTTCTTTTGCTGTAAGCCACGCTAGGGGAAAAGCCGGGGCCGTCTTCTGTCTCCCAAGTTACGGGCCGGGCGTCAGGGAGGAAATGCGGCACAGCCACCGGGACCGGCGGCCGTGTGGCAGACTGGGGTGGGAGGCTTGGATTTCCTTTAGGGATACCTTTTTGCCTGGTATCCTCTGGCAGAATGGCTAGAGCGGTCACAGGTAGGCCGCTTTCTGCAGGCCGTCTGGAAACGCACCAGATATCCCCAAGATGCCTTCGGGTGCTTTTGTAGGTATAGCTGTAGCTGTTTGAAGATATCTTTAGAACAGGCTTTGTTGTAATAGCTTCATCGTCCTCTCCTGCGCAGGTCTGTTGTGAGTGAGAGAAAGGTGTAAGCATCAGGTAATCCTTAAACGCTCACAAATGCATTAGGAAGACTGAATCCTGCAGAAGGATGTTGGCATGTCTCAGCGTACTACTGCTGCTGTGTAGCCTGCAGAAAGGTTCTGTGATTTTTGCCCAGATAGGAATCCAGATGTTTTGTCATCACAGTTCCCTCTTGGGCGATGACACAAAAGACTTGCTGAATTTTTATGGTTATGACAATATTAAATGCTTAAATCAAAGAGGCAAAAAAAGCCTCAAAACTTGGCAGTAAAATCTGTTTGCTTTTGTAGGTTTTTGAGAAACGGGAATGTCTTCAGAGGAAGATGCAAAGACAAGGCAAACTGAGTAAAAAATTCTCTATATGCGTGCTTCACGTGGTTTTCCTACAATGAGTTTATTAGTACCTGGGCTCTCATTCCTGGTTGTGAGGAAGGGAAGGACCAGGGACTTGGATGAAGCAAAGCTATAATGTGTCTCTAAAGTAAACAAACTTCTTTTCTTAGTGTAGTGAGCTGAAAATCTCAGCTAGGGAGCTATTGCTCTATTGCACATGTTATTTGTCTATTGGACAACACGTCTCGCCTCTTGGAATACCCAGTGGCACCAATTGGGGGATTGCAGTCATGATTCTTGGATTCTTGTTCTTAGCTTGCTGCTTGCTTGAGATCAGCCTGGTCCATTTCATATTCTTAGTTCACTGTGAAAGTGGAGGTGAGATGCTAGATAAAATGAACCTTTGGGTTTGATCCTAGGTGGTGATTGTGTAATACTGCTTTTATCTGAAACAGTTTATTTTTTTACTTTCAGCCTGTATTGGCCATTCAGTACAAATTTTTTCCTCATTCTTCTCCGTTCCCCATTGTAACCTCATAAATATTATTTGCTCTTTTGTTGAATCTTTTTCTCCTTTTCCCATTTTGCTTATTTTATAATAAAAAAAAAAAATTCTTTTTTCTGTTGTCATCACTACAAAAGACCTTCTTGGGCTTAATACTCAGTTTTGGACTTCACTAGTACAGTTACATTGGCCAGTGGTGTAAAGAGAAGTGCTCTCTGCTTGTTGGGTTTCTTTTCCTTGAACTGGTAGAATATTGCTGATGAAAGTTCCACCTATGTAGAGTGTGATTTAGTATAGTGCATATATACAATAATACATTTGTATTTATACTGGCTTCATAAATGCGGGTTTGACCTTACAATTGTATGAATGCGATTGTAATATATTGCAATATAATTACGAGCTCTAATGTAGTCATAAATGTTTGTTTCATGGTTGACACTTTCAGACTTGTAAATGTTTAAACACTTTCAGTGCACTTTGGGAATAAAGGGAAGAAGTACTGTTAGTGTTTTAAATCTTGGGCTATTTAAAGGGAGATGATGGAAAGGTCTGTGAAAGACTGGCAGAGAAGAATGGGCAAGGTAAAGCTATAGGTGACAGGATCTGCATTTTCATTTCTGTGAAGGGATTTGTGAACTGGCACATAAGGAAGCAAGCTTTCCTTCTGGGAGGAGTGCTGAGGATAAATGCTCTGGGAAATCTGCAGTGCAGTTACTAAGGAGTGGAGTTACATGCATAAGTAAAATCCGCTTAATGCATTTGCAATTAGTGGCACTGAAAATGATGTGAGATGGAACAGTGGTTATGGCTGGTAGAGCCATATGCAGCCCAAATTATGTGAAGGTGATAGACAGCTTTTGTGATTTCAGTGCCATCTTTTCATTCTCCTCATGGAAAACCTAGCCTTTGAATTTTCTGGGATGTATGTGATACATGTGTGCTCTTCTTTTGGTTGCCTTATGGTGTTTTTAGGCATGTTTCACCCTGAGTAAAAAGAGAGGTTCTTGATTAGGTGAAGAAATTATTTGTTATAGCTAATATCAAAGTGTTTAAAAAAGGACAAATGTTCCAAATAATCTGTATTTTTCACCTTGTAATGGTCATGAATGCAGTGAGTAGGGATTCGAACTAAACTTTTGGAACAAGAGAGTCGAGAATTTCAATGTGTAGCCTTGAAATCCTGTCCTTTCTTCCAAAAGAAGGTTCTGCAAATGTGACTCTACTGATATGTCTCATTTCAAGTCTTTGCTTTCTGTCCAAATTACATTGTTCAAAATGCTGTACGACTTCTCTCCTCGAGGAAAGTAATAGTGGCACAATTTCATGTGTGGCTGAGAAGATCTTTCCATTGAAAACCTCTCATTTTACCCAAATGATCTGGGGAGTTGTATTTCATTTACTGAATCTGAATGACATAAATTCAGACTTCAGTTTTATAGACTTGGTAGGCAGTCCTAACTCTATTCATTTTTGGTGATGATGATGAACTTAATACAATACAGAAGCTTCAAATTGCTTTCCAAAATCCAAATAAATATTGCATGTAAATATTAGCTGGGAGTGGGTTGGAGAGGAATCTGGAGAGGCAAAGTGTGTAGTGTTGTAGAGCCAGAGGCTCAGTTCTGGTTCTGAAGTTAGGGAGAGGCAGAGGTATATTGCAATGGAAAGAAAACAGGATCTTCTGGTTCTATAGTTTTCCTGTTATACTTCATGCTGAACACCCAACCATCTCTGTATCCCCCCCAAGCTAGGATTTGGTGATCCTGATCAGAACATAAGTCACCTTACCATAGACTATGGAATGAAATGCGGTTGTGCTTGACGTGCAGGGATGGGAGGCACTGGCTATAATAGTTTGAGGTAGGTCTGGATTAGGGCTTTAATTCATGGTTTGTGGATTTAAGGGAAGCTTGGGACTTAATTTGAGTATATGACTGGCTACATAATGAAAATGATCTTTGATTTACCAACATACATCCAACTAGTTCTTTCATCCATTGTCATGTTTTTTTAATGTACATGTATTGAACAAAACAGATGGAAATTACTTTGTGCTCATGATTCTATAAGTTCTTGGCATTTCCAAAGCAGCAAAGTTAGAGTTATTTTGGCATGTAGTTCAACTCTTAGCTACACTGCTTTCAGGACTACTCAGGATTCACAAATGCTGTATAATTTCTGTATTAGTGCTGTTTTGTACTGAAAGTTTCTGGTACTGTAACTGCTGAAAGGACTGTGGCTAGCTTTAGTAAGACATGACTGTATGATGTTGAGCTGGTAATGCTGTTCTGAAGAAGCAGGACTAACTGCTTAAATCTGTCTTATAGATAAAAGTGTGTATGTATTGGCACTCAGGTGGAAAGAGTATGTGTATTAGTGGTTATATATCCTCCTTGAGGCAGGTGAAAATACAACATGCACCAGGGATTAGGTGAGATGAGGTTGGGGTAGATGGTTAAGACAAAGCTTGTTATGGGATTGCTAGCGTAGTGTTAGCATTTGTGTGGAACAGGAGCTAAAAAGAATATGTGGTGTTAGTCGTGGCAATATTATTAGGGCGCCTATGCTTAAATAAACAATGGTCTGACCTTAAACATTTTTACTAAGATGCTGGAACTGTGAGAGCTTTCTGACATTTCTCAGGAGGACAAAAAGTAGGGTGTGTCTGATCAGTTTCTGGATGACAGAAAAAGATCTTCATCTCTAAGTATGAATGGGAATAAATGTAGTTTGGTGTGCCTGCAATCAAGACCTGTAGCTGTCCTACTTTTTTCTCATCAGTAGAGCGCTGGCTTCCTTTTGCAAGAAAATACTGAGAGTGGTAGGAGTAAAACTATCTGCACTGACAGGAAACATACCTTCATCTTCAGAGTTCCAGATTTGCCTTTTTTTGCAAGTATCCTAAGGGCTCTTCCAGCCCTCATAATGTAAAAAGCACAGACTAAACTTTTAAGTGGACCAAATTTCACTGAAGCATCAACCAAACCTGTAAAAAAGAATTGTTTACTCTAGCAGAGTAAAAATGTGATTATTTATTGTAAAACTAGAAGGTTATAGAAAGGCAAAGCCAATACAACATGCTTTCTGTAGATGCATGTATGTGACACTTGGAGTTTTCTTTATAAATGTGATTTGAGGTGTCTGAGTTGTGTGGCAGTTGAAGAAGTTGATGGAATGACTCACTATTATTTCAGTCTTTGAATAATGAGTTTCAGAGCAGCAGGCTAAAATTAGCAAGGAATGAGTTAAAACCCTTAGTGTTACAGGCTGCTCAGGGCAACTGCTTCTCTGAGGCTGCTCTTGTTCCTTTTGTAATCATGGATTGCAATTATTCTTCTCTTCTTCCACTTCTGTCTCATGACCTTCAAGGCCACTGTGTTTAGTTGCATGTATTTTTTTTATGGCAGGTTCATCAGCAAATGTTTAAAACTGTTAAAATGTTTTTAATGGGTATTTATTTAAAAATGTGTCATATGCTTATGTTAATTCTAAAAGTGGAAGGTGTCACATTGTCTAGCAGCCATTGTGCAAAAGTAGCCTGACTTTCATTTCAAGGAAATAACTGTCCGATAGTTGGGCATTCTGGTGACAAAGCAGAGAAGGACAATACTCTTTACTGTGGGGTTTTTTTAAGTACTTTATCATTAGAAATAGTACAGAGAATCAGATAGCAGAATTAAACTGACTTAAGATTTCAGGACCGAGGTGGAAATTTACTGATTAAAAATGCAGGTTGTCTCTAAGATTGAAACTTCCTTTTCTTCCTTAAGCTTGGATGAAACCACATAAATCTTTCCAACACATTTGTACCATTCTGCGACCATCCTTAGGCACCCCTCCTGTTATTTGTAACTCTTAAAATTGATGAAGGACACAGGACCTAATTTCCTGATTTAGGTATGGGGATAGCAGTTCTTAGCAATGTAAGATAAATTCCCACTTTTGTATGTTTTTATCTTGCGAACTCCCTGGAATTGTGCAGGGTCAGAGAGCAGAGAGTGTTTCACACTCTAGTCTGAGTTTCATCAGGCTCTCTGGTAGTGCTTTTGTGCTGTTTCAGAGAGAAGAACAATATTAATTAACCAAGTTGTAGTATGCTTGGACTTGGGGTATCAAGTAGGTCAACACATTGTTGGTGAGCAGAACTGATTAGTGGAGCCTGGGTGCTTGTTGTCTGTCTGTCTTCAGCTTCAGTGCTTTGTGTCTTCAAGCACACCCACCGGGCAAGGCAACATAGGTGGGGTGAGTGTTGCTGGTGAGCAGAGTGGGGTGTCTGAGGGGAGGCACACGTTGGTGTAACTGTAACCGTTAGGAAAATCCACTTTTTTTTGCTGGGTATGGATCTGGCAGACACAGTGTAATGGCTCTTCGAGTGGGTGATGAGAGGTGGGATGGTTCTGTTAAGGTGAAGTTGAGAAGGGAGGTTTGTTCAGCTAATGCCTGGAACCTTTAGTTTTCAACCAGAGCAAGCTATATATGCCTTATGGAGGGAAGAATTCTAAATACACAAGTGAAACTTCTGCAAACTTCTTGGTAGCAGAGTGGCCAGATTGAAAAGCTGTCACAGCCAGAATTGTCTCAACTAAAGGAATTTGGTTTAAATAATTCAGGCAAACAACTCTTTGACTTAGTAGGCAGAGGTGGCTGGGGCCAGAATGCAGCTTTGAACTTTGAAAATCCCCATTTGATGTGATGCGATAAATAAGGAAGCCATTTCTTCTGACATAGCTTCTCCATAAAGAATCTAACACAGCCAGAAAGGAAAAAGGCTTTAAGCCTTCAGGGGGAGGTCCTGTTGCAGGTAGGTAGTCTTTTGTGAATCTAGAAAAGGTAGCTGTAACATTACAACTTTAGATTTTCAGCTAGAAAAACCCTTTCTTTTTTTCCTTTCTCTCTGAATCAAAACTAGTTTAACTTTTTCTCAGAGGCAGGAGAGCAAAGTAAACTATAAAGCTGTGACTTACCAAGGTGGCAGCAGTGTTGGTACACACAAAAAAGAACTACAGAAATAGCATGGAACAGTGAAAATGTGATGTTTTTAATAGGTACATTTGTTTGTAATTTGTTTTGTAATACTTGGGCTAGGTATTTCTGAGAATACTGGGTATTCTTCCAGAAAAAAATTGAGTAAAACACTGGTCACAAAGGCTTTTGCATTTTGCTATTTGGTCTTGATAGTTTTTGGTGGCATTTTTGGGGTTTTTTTGAAATTAGGTTTCTTTCATATGAAATGAGAGCTCTAGACTTCTAATACATTAGAAAACTCCTCTTGTTCACTGCTCCCAAAAGAGTTACAAAGTATTTCTTGACAAGTCCTTGTCATGAAGTCTCATTACATTTTGAATATTTAGTATTAAAGCATCTGTAAGTATTTCAATGTTTAAAATAATTTATTATTTAATTTATTAAATAGATGAATCTTTTTTCTCTTTTGTTTATATATCCAGTATAATTGGACTATAGATTCAGATTTGAACTAAATTGAAATGTCTCTCTGTGATGTTCACATACTGTCTCCATCTGCAACTAAAATTCTCACGCTGACAAATGAACGACCAGCTGTTCCTGATCTGCAAGCTAGAACTTAAACTGCTTTGAGATGAGCTGTGTGTGACTTGTCTGTTTTTTTGCATGGTTCCACATCTTACCTCGCTGTGGAATGATGACTGTAGGCCTTGAACAGTAAAGATGCATCTGTTGAACTTTATCCTGTGTTTGAGAGTTTTTGAAAGTAAATAAAGGATTCTTTACCAGTAAACTTTCTATCAATTCTGTTATGCCTGATAAAAGCACAGGAGGCTTTCCTATAACTTTTCTTGCTGATCTTAACTGAAGGGGCCAAATTACCCTTAAGTAAGAATGCCTACATTTTTACTGTGCCTGCTGACTTTTTCCTTTTTTTATTCCCTCCAACAGGAACAGGAAATACAGTGGTGATAATGGTTGGCTATCCAAAAGGAATAGAGATATTGGAGCCAGTACGAAGAGGGATTCCAGTAACAATGAGTATTGTTGTTGGTACACGCCATGTGCAAGAATACATTAGTGGTCAATCAGTTGTGTTTGTAGCCATTGCCTTCATCACCATGATGATTATATCGCTTGCTTGGCTCATCTTTTACTATATACAGCGTTTCCTCTATACGGGATCACAGTTTGGAAACCAGGTAAATGGAGCTAATGGCACTTAAGAGTAGATACCTCCTTCTTGTGTCAAATCAGTTGCCTAACTTTGATTGCATTCTTGAAGATCTGTGTCTTCTTCCTATTTTGCTAACTGTGAATGCTGCTCAGCAGCAGTCAGTGAGGCTAATAAGCACTATGCTAATTGGCATCACAAGTTTGACTAGTTATAATTATTAGGTTCTCATATGAAGTAATGAGAAATACATTTAGCCACTTGTCAACAACAGCTTCTTATGTGATCTTATGTTATCTGTCACCTAACTGAGCTTCCTTCCTTTTGACAAGAAAAGTTATTTTCATTCTTCAGTAATTTTCATTTTGAAAGTACTAACTGCACTAACTAGACTTTTTTAATGGAAAGAGAGACTATGGTAAGGTTTTCTTTTTTAATTTTCTTATAAAACCCACAAATTCTTCAGGGTCGAATTTTTAGTTCTATGACTTTATGAAAGCTACTTTTGGTAGTTGTAATTCTACAACTCCACTGTAGAGTTACTGAATTACAGCAGACTAGAAGGTGCGTATGTAGTGAGATTCAGCTCTCTTGGGCTACTCAAGGTACTGAGAACAGTGAGAGTACTGAGAAGGTTTGGAAAGAGTAATTTTGCTCCTTCTTTACCCTTCTCACATTTCTGTACTTACAACAAAAAAAAAAACCCAGCTTTACTTTTTTCCCCTGAGAAAAGAAGTTCATCATAGAACAGTTTAGGCTGGAAGGGACCTCTTGACTCCTGCAATCAAGAGAGTGACTTATATGGAGTTACTGAGGATGCAAGTCCATCTGAGTTTTGAAAATACCTTAGAATGGCACTTAGCTCTGCTTTTCAGCTACTGCAGATAGGTTAGGTTTCTTCTGTGATCATCAGCAGCTCTACCATTTGCAGGTTCTCTTTTTTTTTTATCCTCCGTTCAAGAAAAAATATTGTTTCAATTAGTGCTTAGCATGTAGACTTCTGCCTTTTCCATGATGATGTAGATTCTAGCTTTGGGGGAGGAAGGATGGGATTTTTGTTTGCTTTCAGAAGTCTGAACTCTATAAATAGAGGACTCTTCTAGGAAAATACTTAATTTCTCTTTTCAATAACTGAGGATAACACACAGGACTTCTGTATTGGTTAACCTTGTGGTCTCCCTGAAGTTTTGGTTTTCTAGAGTCTTTTTTACTAAGTTTTAAATCTTAGCATTTACTTTCTGAGAATACTTTCGGGAAAACAAAATTTAAAAATTTTGAGAACCATTTATAGGCAAAGGCATGTGTTTCTGTGTTGTAATAGTTGTTTGGTGAAGAAAGTTGCTTCTTCCTGTTGCCTTTTAAATAGTTCACACAGAGGAAGGTTCACATGCTTTATGAAGCACCATACTTTAGTTTTAAGGATGTGAATTCAATGTTTCTAAGAAACTTGTGCCACAAACTCTTAATAGGATCTTGCTATTGTCATCCAAATGCCAGTAGATTTTGCCAGTGCTTGTCATCTGAATGCTTCTTAAATAAATTAAACTGTCTAGCATTAGAAGGTTATGCCTTTTTCTCAATTATTTCTCTTCTAAAATAGCCATTGAAAATAAAAATGATGCAAAGTTGAAAATGTTTTGATGATATTAGTTGAGATGTATTAAGAGTCTTAAAGGAATTTTGGAAACAAAAAGCTACTTTCTAACTCAAATCTTGTTTTGCTTGGCTTACAGACTCAGTTAAAACTAAAACTTGTGAGTTAAATATGTTATGCTTTAAAGCAAGCTGCAGTATAATTGCTAAATGAAGATGGATATCTTAAAATTTATTCTAATATCTGTTTAGCACTAAAATTATAGAAGATCTCCTTGCTACTGAAGATGAAAGCAGGACTGTGCAGAAAACCCTGAGAAGGTGGAATAGGGTTGTGGTTTTGTCCATTTCTGGAAGATTTTTCAGACAATTTATCTTTAACTCCATAAAAATTTAAAAAAATAACAATTTTTAGTACTATACATTTGTAAAATTATATATGTCATCATAATTCTTACAGAGAAAAGCTTCCATTATAGGTTTGGGGTTTTTTATTCCTTTATGATACTTCTTTACTGAGGGTTGCTGCTAGACAGGTCAGCCTCTGTCAGCTGGGAGTGTTGAGTTTCTCAGTTTCTTGCAGTAGCTAGCACTTTGTCTTGGACTACAGTACTGCTTTCTTTTCTCGCTTCCCCTCTGAGCATAATTATACTGTCTAGAAGTCCAGTATGGTGCATCATGTCTGTAAAGCCTTTCTTGCCATCTCCTTTGCATAATGTGTCCTTTGCATAAAGTGCAAAGCTTTGTCCAGCGCAGGAGACAGTGTTTAACTGAGGGGAAGTATTAATAGCTACAAGCAGCCTTTTGACCTGGTGGCCAGCTGTAGGCTGCCTGGCCGGATTCCACTTCTCCCAGCCTGGTGCAAAACGTACGGTGTGCTTGCTCATGGGCTTGCCTGACTGGAAGGTCTGGTTATGTGGCTGTTGTTACAGCTCTGCTTGCCTCTAAAGCCTACAAGGGTTTCAGCTTTCCTGGGTGGAAAGGGCCTTCATGGCGGTACTTAGGATGCGGGGCTGCGGCTGCCGGCGGGCTCGGCTAACCCCGCACGGCTGCGGCTGCTCCTGCGAGCAGGGCGCCTGCCCAGCCTCAGGAGCACACCGCTTACTCAATATCTGCTGCCTGGAAATATTTTATAAACAAATTCATTGCACAGAGATCAATTTAATTGTTTTAGACACGTTTGGAAGACTCAGCAATTCACGTGTAAAGTATTTAAAAACTTTGAAATGTAGCTCCTGAAACAACTGTGTATACTAACGCTTAAAATCTTATTTCAAGGGACATAGGAAAGAAACCAAGAGAGCCATCAGCCAGCTTCAGCTGCATACTGTGAAACGTGGAGAAAAGGTAATTCAGTGTCTCCAGTTATTGCTGTAAATTTTAAATATGGTTGTAAAGTCTTCAAAGAATTTAAACTAAAATTACCACAATATAATGGTAATTCTAGGCTTATGTTAGGGCCTATGTTTAAAAACTTGAGCTACTTATGAAATTAAGGCTACTTTGTTGCAAATAATATCTGGTTATACAGAACGTATAGGGAACTGCTACTATAGAGATGAGGAAACATTGTTATCTTTGTTATCTTTAGCACTTGAAAACATCAACAGGTGGATTGCAAAATACTTCCGCGCAGTTCTCAGAGCTGATGTAATGTTCTGTTTTCTTAAAAGAACATTCATCTTATTGATCAGAAGGCCTTAAAAATATAAAAAGCTTTGTAAAATAAAACACTTGTTTCATCTTTTGACATCTAATACATTAAGGATCTGTGTAGGCTTAACCTGAAGCATAAATTTTTTAAAGTACATTTCTGTATTATGAAATAAAGCTAATCTAAAAATTAAAGCAGATTTCAGGAAGTTGGCTTAGACAGCATATGGCATAAACTCAGCTGTATTAGAATAACTGAAGTAGAAAAAGCCAACATTTTGAAAGAAAATATTTTAGTTGGAGTTTCGAGAGTGCTGATCCTAGATGCAAAATTAGCTTCTGACTAGATTTCTGCTGCTACATAGGAATTTTTTCCCCTCAATCCTTGTCTTACTTGATGAGTTTTTATTTAAGGATTGATTTACTTGGAGATGAAAAACAAGGATTTTAAAGTCTGTGAATAAAATTAAAGTGAGAAATGACATCGATATGTAAAAACTTTAAAAGCAGTAGTCCAGCAAAAGCTGTTCCACTCAGGTCATGTACTACAGAGAATATGTCCTTCATTTAGTAAATCAGTTTTGAAACTTCAAAGACACTTCTGGGATTTTTTTTAACTTATTTGCCTTTTCCTTTTATGCTTTCAACATGCTTAAATAGTGTTTTACAAATATTTCTTACTTTTAATTAGATTATTTTTTGAGGGAGTTTAGCATATATTTCAAGCTGTGAACAGAGGGATACTCATACTTCAGTTCATACAATGGTGGCATTAGAGATCAAGAAAGACAGAATTGAACCCAAACTTGTATAAAGCACTATCAGAGCATAATGTCAGTGTAGGAAGAAAGGGACATAGAAGGGTCATGATAAAACCTATGTTAAAAACCACACAGAAGATGTTAACAGCTTTTAACATTGATGTTCAGTAAAATCCTCCAAATAGGATTTGTATTGTGTGATTTTTGCAGTATACAGGGAGTTCCTTCCAATAAATAGACCCTTGGCTAAAGCAAATAAAATGGGGGAATTTGTTATACAGTATGCTGATTATTCCTATGAGTGTCATGTTCATTAAGAGTAGAATGAGATAAGGTTAGAATCTCTCTGTTAAAATAGAGCTTTTGTGTGTGGTAGATCTCATTAATGTGATTTGAATCAACTCGCTATCAGCAAATTTATGTAACTTACTGATGCAGAGGTATTTTCATGAACTAATGTAAATTTGGACATTTGTCCTGTCTACTCTGTAAATGTATATTTTTTCTTTCAATATTTCCTTTCAGCCATTTAAAGAGTCTATTTCTTTTGTTTTGATGCAGTACAGTCTTTCATTATCCCCACTTCAGGTTAGGATATTTAACTAAAAATAGGTCAGATATATTAAAAGTGTATTTACTATCATGTAGATTTTTCCTGAGAAGCTTACGGGATTATTGTAAAATGGACACTCATTTGAGTATGTGCTACATATGGTGTGCTTGGATTTTGCCTCTTGTACAGAATAAAAAATAACTTGTTATAGAATAAGCACTTGTCTTAACTTTGCTTACCTAAAAAAAAACAAACCAGTCTTAATGTGATTTACTTAGGAATTTAAGGCATTAATTGTGTAAATTCATAGCATGCAAAGGAGGGAAATACTGGCCCTAAACTTGAAAGTTTCCTTGCAGAACTAATTAGAAAAATGCATGTATTGAAACTGAAGTGCTTTAGTAAGTTGTAAATCAAAATTACTAACTTTTGGGGATGGAAGCAGAGGAATTTTTCCGCTGGCTGTTCTTCTAATACTTAGAATTTATGCAGCCCAATTAAAGTTGGATTCTTTTTCTTGTATTTGGAGCTATCCATCATATTTACACTGCAACTCTAAGCATGGTTTCAGGAAGACAGTAAGACCTGTTAGAAAAGATATTTAACCCTTAGATAAAAGTAGGAGTGGGGAAATGGTGTTCTGTCTAGTGTGAACTTGGAGAAAGGTTTTAAACTAAATTGCATACTTGTGTTCTCTTCTGGCTAGGAAGGAATATCTGCTAGGATGTGGTAGAAGAAAGAAAAAGGTGAAGAAGAGGTTTGCAGTATTCAACCCCAAAAATCTCTTCCTGCTCTTTGAAATCTTTGGACCATTGTTCAGAATTAGATTGCACACTTTGATTTGTGCTGATTTCTTAAAATGTTTTCATCTTAAAGCTACCTTCAACTGAAACATTCTTGTGCTCCCATGAACAAAGCCGATGTGTGAGACTTAACGAATTACTTAGGATGCCATGTCTAGTTATTTAAATTAGAAAATCTGGGTTTGGCTGCTTTTAGTATTTGATAACTTGATCAAATCACCTCTTGATAGAATCTCAAATTAAATGAGGTATATTTTTTTATTTGCTATACCATTTAATATGTTTTGCATTCTTTGAAGCTAGCTATTATACAAAGCTTGTTCTGTAATGAAGTGTGAATGTAATGCACTTAAATATGTTGTCATTTTTAGGGTTTAGATGTTGATGTGGAAAACTGTGCTGTGTGCATTGAAAACTACAAACTGAAGGACACTGTCCGAATTCTGCCATGCAAGTAAGTGGTCGTAGTTACTCTTTACTCTATAGCACGTTTTTCTAAAGAAATGAGATGATCTTCCTATAAATTCTTCTGAACCTATGGTGGTAGAGCTGAAGCTGGAATTTTTATGGCCCGTTAAATGTTGAAGACCATTGTGAGACTGTGTAGCACTTCATATGTATGTGGAGGCTAGGGAGCAATTGGGAGAACTGTAGGGGTGAATTAGAGCTTGCTTAAATTAGAGCTGTACACTGTTGAACTGATAACTGCGTGGTGTCTTTGTGGTTATTAGCATCTCCTCTTCAGAAAGCTGGCATGAACCAAAAGGTTTCCAGAACCATGTCTGTATTAGTAAATTGAGCAGCAGCTATTAAGTCAAGATTATAAAGTAAAAGTTTATTTTTAGTGTCTTAACTTGTACACTGTTTGAAGGAGGGATCTGTGGCTTTCATGATAAGTTCTAAAGAGCATTTCTTTTCTTTAGGCACATCTTCCATAGAACATGCATCGATCCTTGGCTTTTGGACCACCGAACTTGTCCAATGTGTAAACTAGATGTTATCAAAGCTCTGGGATATTGGGTATGTTGCACCTACTTTAATCTTCAAAGTAGAAGTACAGTTTGGGAGGCAAGACTTTGTGTAACTGTTTAGAATGAGAGCAGCTGTTATTTCACAAGACTTGAGAAGCTGGACAAAGATGCAAAGAGTAATTGAATGAGAACCAGAAAAATAAGGGAATTTTATGGGTAAAAACTTAAATGTATTGAGCAACTTATCAATCTTCTTTGATAACCAATTTTTTCTATATCCAGCTGATAATATTAGGGAATTTGAAACAGAGTTGAGACTGTTTGCTCAGGCTGCAAAAATATAACTAAATTAAATAAATATAGAACATACATTTGATGTTGTTGAGAACTGTGATTCAGAGGAAGAAATTATAATTTTTCTACATAGAATGTTTGTGTACTTCCACATATGCCCCATGATTTATCCCTGTAAATGAGCTGGTACCTAAAACCTTCCTAACATTCACCAGAAATTGGTTAAGTAGAGAAAATGATGTGCTCTCATTTCTTTCTGACAGCACCAGAAAAGAGAGATGAAGACACATGCGGTAGGTTACTCAGTCACTGTTGATAAATAGTCTTGAGTTTCACTAAAATGCTATAGGCAAGAATGTACCTCTCTTATCTCCTACTTATCTATAGATATCTCTAGAAAATAGAGGCAGTTTTTTGGTTTCAGGGACTTTCCATTCAAACACTAGGTCTGTGTTTTGACTACCTTTTCTCTTACTTCATTGCAGAGACTTATCAGATCTGTGGAAGAGTGTTAGGAATTACTGTTTTGTTTTGTACTCTTGCTATATAATATGTATATACCAGATTTTGGTGCTTCTGTGTATTAAGTCAGAATTTACCTGGGAATTGCAATCTTGTTGTCATGTGGAATAGCTATTGCTACTTTAATATTTTTAAATTAGCAGCTTGGTTTCTGCTCACATTCAATTCTTGGGGTTGATGTATCTTGTATTAGATGCAGAAGGACTTATCTTTTTGAATACAGGCTGGAAACTGAAATACTGGAACCTTCAGAATAATTATATTCCCTGAATTTGTGCTGTTGCAGAGGATACTAAGCCCAACCAGGAAGAGTAATAACTCCTCTGCTTTTTGGATAAAATGACTTTTGGAAAGCAGATTGAGTGGGATTATGTTAAATGGAGGAGCCCAGTTCATTTTTCTAATGAAATGAGGCAAATAGGTCCTGTGTTTGCATCAGTTGTTCAAGTCTCACTGAAGCTAATGTAGTAAATCATTCAGGAATTTTTTCCTAGCTTAGTTTTTAGTTTGTTCAGGTTGCCCAATCTAGTCTGTGGAGTGCATGCCTGATTTTTTTTTACTGATGTGAAGAAAAGAAGTGCAAAGAGCAAGGCAGCTTCTCTCAGCACTGCACTCTGAACCTGCAGAAAAAAAAAAGTGCAGCATTATAGAAATATACTAAACCTTCTGTAGGGAGGCTCAAGGATCAGTTCAGTTATGGACAACAAGTACTATAGATGTATTTACATTTTTAAAGGCTTGAAGTAGAAAAAAGGCATTAAGTCCTATGACATGGCTTTTGTAAAGAGCAGACTTCAGTGGTCTTGTTCTTCATTATGCTGTTTTTTATGTGAGAAAGAACTGCAGCTCAGCATGTCTGGCTGATTTTGTAGGGCATTACTGAATATTGTAGTTTCAGTGCTTCTTGAACTGTTTTAAGTTCTGGAAACCAAAATCATTGATGCCCCCTCCTGTCTGCAAATGTAAAGATTGTGTTCAATTGTATCATGTCTATAGCTCATTAGAATTCAGTACGTTTTAAATTATGCTGATTTGATGCTAAAGAATTTGTTAAATTTTAAGATGGGCTTTTGCTAGTTGTTTGAGGAATGAAAAGATACTTGCTAGTAAGCAAAAAGAATAGCTACTTAAACTGCAATATATTTGCTTATTTATAAATAATATCAGTATATCTATGGCAATGAAGGTAGTTTGTTTAGTTGTAGAAACAGAACTGTATGTATAGGAGTTTGATCCATTCTGAAAATTAATTCAGAGTTGTTTGTTCACCCGAGTCCGAGTTTAAAAAAAAAAAACAAACAAACAAAAAAAAAACCCAAAAAAAACCAACAAACCAAAAACGTGGCCAACTACTACTATAGGGAAGAAACAGGACTTAGAGACTTCTGCAAAGTCAAAGAATCAGTAGGCTTCCTCAGTGGGGACTTTGTATATGCTGAGCGTGCTCCTAACCTTCAGCCATACTGTTGCTACAGGGTTGAAGTAATCCATCCAAAAGGCTGACTGGGTGGACTCTTCCTGTTTCTTCTCTTGGCTTTGGGGCGGCTTTGGAGAAATGGCTTTTCTTTTGGTTGGCTTTCTTTCTTGCAGTCAGACAATAACCTTGAAAGTGGACAATATCAACACTTTTCCCAGGAATGCACACGTAATAGCTAAAAATTGATCTTTTTTCCAATAAGGTGAGCTTACAAAAGATGACATGGAGGAATGTTGATGTCTGACTGTAGACAAAAGTGACAGTTAAATATGTTTAATTTTGTAGGGGGACCCTGAGGATGTACTTGAAGTTCCAATACCTGAATCCATAAGTGGCAGCGTTTCAGTTGGAAGTCTGAGTATTGCTTTGCAAGATGATGACAGAAACGAAGTAAGCGAATTGTCAGCTTCCTCCACTAATGAGTCTGTATTGCAGTGTACCAGCTTAAAAGAGGATGCAGGGGAAACCACAGCATTGCTTGGTAAGTAATTCAGTGTTTCACTGGACATATCTTAGCACTAGACATTGCGTTAGAAGCTATTCTCTAGCTGGTGTGAGCAGGTAGTACTGCACTATAGAGCAGACTGAGTGGTGTCACTACTACTGCTCTTCAAAAAATACAAGCAAATTTTCAAAGAACTCTGTCAAGCTGGAAATAACTGGACTTGGGGGAAAGAAAGATGTAAGCAGTGTAACATTTTTTCTTTTAATTCCTGATTTCTAGATGTTGATGCCAGTAATAACCGTCATGGAGAACATCTATCCAATGGAAATTCCCACTGAACTGCTTCATGGAAGATACCTTGAATAGACTGTTGAAGAACTATTATTTTTTATTTAATTAGTATGGACTTTTGTCTAGTTAAAACAGAAAAAAAATAACAATGTAAATTATTTTACCTTTCAGACTTTTCTAGCTGGTGTTCCAAAAGGGCTAATAACTAAGAATTTTGTACATAGGAGGATTTTATAAAATCTCCTCTGGATGTCTCATCCGAAAAAAAAATGCAATAACCCTTTTTCTGTAAGCATTGTTGCAATGTCATTGTGTTCCAGAGGGCTGTAACAAAGCTGAAGACTAGGCAGTGAAAATAATGTAGACTGTGTAACGGTTAAATATTTTGGATGCACTATTTACATTCAGTATGTACACATGGAGAACACTTACAAGCTATAACTATTAAAATGTTCTGAAAGTCCTGAACTGTTGTAATTGGAGATGAATATTCTCAGAGAAGACATTAACCTTGAAGGAATCAAATAAGTTAATGGATATGTTGCATATCCTTTTCTTGTGATGGAAAAAATGCTGGTTGCAACATGTAACAAGTACTTATTCTATCTTGTAATGTGTTCTGCTCAGAGTGAATGTTGAGAAAAGGAAACCTCCATCTTGCTAGCTTTCTGTACTGAATTTTGGCAGTAATAGGTTGTGCTAGGTGGTCTTCACGTGCTGAGCATGTAGACATTTAGTATATGCACACTGGTTACCTCTTTCAATCTTAAAACAGAGGTAAAGGGCTAATTATGGCTAAAATATATTTACTAGTCTATTTATAAGAAGTTATGTCATTTCTGCTTGTTCCTGATCCTATCCTGACCCACTTTATGTACAAATTGAAACCATTTCTTGAGAAGTACAAAGGTTGGGTTTGTTTAGCTTTTTCTTTTCCTTTGCATAGAGATGCTGGAATTCTCTTGGATATTCCACATTAGGAGTTTTGACTGGGTTTACCATTAGCTTTTATTCCTTTTTTTTAGATTAGCAGTACTGTGCCTTATAGTAAAACACTTAAGAAATCTGAAGCATCTGAGAGTAAATATAAACCCTGGCATCTCCCATTATGACCTCTTATTCAAATATTTATATACTGTAAGTGGTATAAGGAATTGCTAAACTGTTTTGTAAAGAAATATGTATATTTAAAACACTACTTAAGAGTGTTAAGTGAATTGTTTAGGATTTTAGCATTGTCATGTTATAAATAATATGCTACATTCCTCAATTTTCTTTTGTAAAGCTGTTGCTACAGATTGCTTAAAACAGTGTCTTTCACTAGACATTTGTTTTAGAGTGCATTTTGTTTTTAAAATGTATATTTGGAATGTTTTTAAGAAAATATGCAATTCTTTTTCTAACTTACATTGAGCTTCAATAGAAGCAATAACTTTTTTTTTAATTTTACAATGAATGTTCCAGAAATGACAGAGGGGGAAATATAATCTGAACTTCCAGTTTGCAGAGCAGATGTTTCACCCTAAATTTCCTTCAAAAAAATTCCTGTTAATACCTACTTTAGAAAAATCTGCCTCTTCCCTGTAGGAGTATAACTTTTAGGTTTACTGGAAAACTGTCAGGTTGTAGTTCTGATGTCACCAGCAGGTGCAAGTTTTTGTGATGCCTTTATCTTACAAGAAGCACATGAGAATGGAATATGACTGACCAGCCATCTCCAAAACTGAACAAATAATTAAACAACCCACAACTAAAGCAGACAATGTGTAGGGACACCTACGTCTCCAAAAGAAGCTTATCAACATTTCCAGAACTGCCTTTTTAACTATCTCTTCAATATTAAAAACTAAGTCTTCTCCCTCTTCTTTAACACAAAACTGAACATTGATGTTGTAAATGTTGAGAGGGTTTAAATTCTAGCTCAAGGAGGAACCAAAAGAGAAGTTATCAAGAGAAGTGTTGTCAGTCTGTGGATTGTGTCTTGCTGATACCTACAGCACAGTATTCATTCTGGAGAGGAGAATTGTGGTAAGTACTTGAGCTTTTATGTAATACCTATAAAACAAAAGCTTTTCTTAAGAATTAAATGTGAGATCTGGCAGAAAGATGGAAGAAAAGCTAAGGAACCTGCAAACTGAAAAGTGTGCTTATAAAATCTGGTGTGTGCTGACTTAAAAAAATATCGAAGTGTGAAGACTCCTGAGGTCTGTTTCACATGCTGGTACTGCACCTGTTTCATTTCAGTCATTCACAAAAATAGTTACAGTTGTTTCAGTCAAATAGGTTTGCACATAGTTGATCTTTGATATAGTTAAGTCTTGTGAGGCCAGCTGTGCTGCTGAGGAGTGATGACAAAAGGCCGAATTGCAGTGCTTCCAGCAAACAGTTTGCTCTCCTTGGAAGCACAATGACAAAAATCATCCGAAGCGAATCACTAGTCTGACCTCAGTCAGAAAGCTGACATGCATTAGTAAAAGGAGAGGTAGGATGAAAAGTACGGGGCAGGAAAAATACAATCTAGGGAGCTTAAAACATTAGCAAGAGAAGCTTAGAAACAAGAAGGATAGGACTCCAGAAGGAAGGAATAAGCTCATGTATTACATTGAGTAAATGGGTGTAGGCTGCTGTAGGTAAATACAGGTGCACAGACTTTGCTGATCTGGATCCCCACTAAATTGGATCAAACTGGTATTGCTGTTTTTGAACACTTTACTTTCCAAAAACTTGTATGAAGGTCAGAACTAATGAGTGATTTTTTTTTTTTTTCACCTCCTCATCCCTTTTTGTAGGGTGTGTACTTCCTGACTCCCTTCTTTTCCATTTGGGGAAGCTATAATCTGCCTCTGCTGCTTTAGCCATGTCCTGCCTAGTGTGGGAGCTGCAGCTGTGGGCTCCTGCTGCCTCCCCCTGCCCTCATCACTTTTCTCTTCCTAGCTGCACAGTTTACATAAAACATGCAGGAACTTGTCTTGGACAGCTCTGTCCCTTTGTTAGATTTTGCTGTAATCAGGCAGAGTGCTGCTTATTGGAGACATTCCTGTGGTATCATTTTGCAAAAAACTAAATTGCAGAGCCCACATGAAGTCTAAAGCCCCTCAATGGTGATGCTGAATAGATCACTTGAGAAAAATCCCTAGCAGGACTTGGGGATACTGGTTTTTGTGGGATAAGTTTTCTTAGTGTTGCGTTAATTGGCATGGCTTTGTTACTGCTGCTGTTTCTGTTAGGGAAAAATTTTGTGAAGTTAAGTGATTTTAATTTTTTTTTAAGGAGCTATGAACATGTCAAAAGGAATTGCTATCTTAAAGGAAAAACCGAGGCCCCTCTTTGTTCAGAAATTTTAATTTATTAGTAGTAGTCTACATATGACAAACTGGAAAAATCTTGGTAGTAAATGTCTAAACTGTCTTTCAGACTTGATAGCAAGGAAAAATGAACCATAGACAGATCTAAAAGCATATTCATGGTTTAATTACTTGCAGTACCAATTTAACTGGAAAGTCTGGATTTTCTTTTACTAATGACTGCTAGACTGGATTCTTCTTTGGCTCTAAGCAATGCTTGGAGGACATTCTTGGCATGTACTAGAGAAGTCTGATAGGATAGCAGTAATTCCTTTCTTCTGCCCCGTACCCCCCACATTGCATGTGATTGTAGTCCAGCAGCCTGTTGCCAGTAATTATGGCTAGATTTTGAAGATCTACTGGAAGAGTTGTAGGATAACTTACCTACAGTGGGAATGCCTTAAATCCATGCTGACTTAATAAAGTGCATACCAGTATATTCCTGCTAAAGCTGGCCTGTGGGGAATTGTGGTCCTGTTTATGTTGTAACTGGCACAGAGAAACACCATTGCAACACCTTTGTCAAGTGGGCAAAGCTGTTTTTTAATTACCTGATTTTAGTTTTTAAATTTTGATTTGGGAATGGTCATTCAGGTTTTTTGCCCATCCTGCAAGGTTCCTCTACAACCAGCCAGTTGTAGTTGGGCAGAGTTCAACAAGACTGTCCCCTTGGGTAAGTTGAAAGGATGCAATTTTATAATAGGGCCATTGTGAATTACAGTTCCTGAAATGGAATATGTCAGCTTAATTTTTTTTTAACTGAATGCCTGTAAAAAATTGTAACATGTCCTTGAGACTGATCTTTACTGGATGTGTTCTTTTCCCTCACAGGTGTTATGTGAAGATTTGAGAATTGGAATTGATTTAAAAGTGCACAAATCAAGCTGAAGGCTTTTGGTTTTGTTCAGTATGGATCCTGATCTCTCCTCAGATATCCTACTGTATTGCAAAACTTGATTTAAGAAAGTTTTTAAAATAGAATGCCTTTATAATTGCATGTATTTGTGTGAAGAGTGCATTGCCTGAGACTGTCCATTATACTTCCATTGGACCTGAAGCTCCTTTTCATCATCTGAAACATGGTAATGTTACTGCATTTTTAAATGAGCATAACCTTAATTCAGAAGAGCAGAGTAAGTTTCCATCATTTTGTTAGTCTGAAGCTTAACTCCAAAACTTAGGAGCCACTTCTACTATAAACATATACCTGCAGAGAACTATTTGAATTTGCTAGTCTGTCAAAAACTATTCACAACAATCTTGTAACCTTGAACTAATTCGGTTGCATTGTTTGGATTAAGCACTTGTCTTTTCCATTGTGTATGTACAGTTGTAAGAATGTCAAGTTATGCATTGTTGTTGTAACTTAATGGCTAAAAGCTCAAATTCCATAATAAATTATACAGACCTTTTAAAAAGAAATGTCTGAGAAAGTGGAGGGTTTTGTTTTCTTTGGTACACTTAGGAAGTGCATCTGAGGCACTCAGCACTGGCACAGCAGAACACAAGCTTAACTTGATGCTGAGTAGCTATGGGGGAGCTCCTTTCAGCATGTGGTGCTTTCCATGTGTCACCAATACCTGGGAGGGCTGGGTTAACCTTGGCTGGCTGCTTTGTGAGGAGGGGAAAAACTGATGGAAGAACTTGTGGGTCAAGATAAGAAACAGTTACCAATTACCATCACAGGCACAAGAGATGTGACTACATGAAGATTACTTTGGAATGACAATAAATTAGTTTGAGAGTAGGGTAACAGAGGACTAAAACTACCCTTTGGTAAGCTGACGCTTCTCCCATCCATGGTGGCAGGAGTGCAGGGGTGAGCCTGTGAGGTCACTGCTGTTCCCTCCTCACCCTTTTGCCCTGCTCCATTCTGAGCTCCTTCCAAGGAGCTGCCATTCCTTAAGGACTGCTTCAGTGTGGATCCTCTCCATCAGGTGTAGACCCCTCCAGGGCTGTCACTGAGCTGCCACCAGTCTGGCTGAGGGGCTCTGCTGTGCCAGCTTGTCCTGGCTGGGTCTGGAACAGGGAAACCTTCTTCTCACAAAGGCCACCCTGCACTTCCCCAGTACCACAGGGCTCTGAAATTAATATGTCTCAGACATATCTATGATGAAAACATAAAATTTCTTGATAAGTCCCTAATCCTTGGATTTGTCACAGAATTATAAAAATTACGTGTACCAGGGCAACTCAAGCAAATACGGTGAAGATGCAGAACAGCTAGACTTTGGCTGTAATATCATAGTAGCACCATTATATTAGTCTATGACACTAGTCTAAAAGATACATACATTTTTAAAGAGGGGTACTGCTACACAGAATATAGTCAAATTTGGCTTCAGTTTTAGTAGATAGAAAACATTAAGGTATGATTTTAAACCATCTTGTGCCCTAAGTGTTGCCACTAATAATGCCTGATAGCAAATGTATTGTAGTTGGAAGCAATGTGTAGAATTGTAACAGATCTTATTTAACAAATGTTACTTTAGTTGACCTGATAGATTTTAACTGGAAAGCTGCACAAGTCTAAGCCCATTTCTCACAGGACTTTTAACTGAAAAATTATACTAAGTGAGACAAGAGACTGAAAATCCTATCAATCCAAGCACTTTCACACCTTAAATTACTTGGAAAGAAAGACCGTCTTTACTTTGCATTATTGATCTTGTAGTTCCTAAAAATTTGAGAAGCAGATGCAGATTTAAAACAACTTTCATTTAGCAAGCAGCATTAAAATAGAACTTGTTAACTTTCCAAGTTACTTTCCTTTTCAGTCTTGGGGCTTAAATATAATAGCAGCTACGCTACTATCTGCTTAAAATTATAGTTTAGCAGACTCCAGCCCCAGTTTCCCCAATACCTGGCATCTAATATGAAAGCTACTCTGCCTCTGTGATCTAGAAGGAAGAGGTTGTTTAACTGTGGAAGAGACATAGCAACTGCCTGTACAAATTCGGAAATGAGAAGAGACTGGAATTCTTTTGACTTTTATGGAAGAAATGTGACCCTCTTTCATAAGTAAAAGATTTTTACAAGCATGTAAAGTATGGTATTTCAACTGCAGCTGGCATGATTCTGAAAATACTCAGTGGTCTTGATAGGAGAGAATATTGCTGTGAGCCTACAGCACCCAACTTCATTTCTGCCCTGTGAAGATAAGCCTTTAGCTGTTTCTAGATATCAAGACAGACTTTCCCTTACTCACCAGAACATACTGTTAGGAGTTCTATCCAGCTCCTAGAAGGTCTTATACAGTGAACAAAAGGTAAAACAAGGAACTTACTCACCTTGATACAAGCTGACTTTAGGTCTATACAAACAATTTTGGACCCAAAGACAGTAAGTGCCAGATTAATGCTTAAAGTTGCCGTGAATGCTAAGTATCATTTAAATTCTCTCTGGAACTAGACCCTGAATTTCAGGATATGTATATGACATACAAATTTAAGTATAGTGAAAAATAGTGTGAGGCCTAACATATTTCACAAACTCAAACGTGTATCAGAAAAAGTCATTTATTGTTCAAATGCATAAAATGCTATTTATAATGTAATTAACATAATACATAATTAATTCAGGGATTTAAGTTTAAAATATACAATTAATTGGTATAGAACACTAGCAAGAAGGATTTTTGCCACTGACAGTCACTTTATTTTGATGTTTTTGTTTCTGATGGATTTTCTCCAGTGTCCAGTGTCTTCAGCAATCTGAAAAGGCCAGCTGCTTCTCGTATCCGACTGAACTCAATGCAGAATGCTTGCACTTCTATAAACAAGTCCTGTACATTAATGATTTTGTTTCTGATTAAAGACTGAAGAAAGACACAAACAAGACGGACCAGGCGGTTCTGAAACATAAGAGAGATGGTTTAATAATCCAAATAAATGTTTGCAACCAAGTCAGGATTGTTGGCCCTCAGCAGTACAAGTGAGATGTTTCAGCAGTTATATTATTTCCAAGCTTTGTACATGCTGGCCCTTCTCTCCCATTTCCCCTACTACTACTGTCTTTATAAAATTAACTGCTTTATAGGTACTTTTAGATGCAGGAGCCTTCTCAAGATTAATCCCATGCACAAATGGACACCACATCTACCTATCCACTGTACTTAATTTATTATGTAATCTCTGAATAAAGGCAAAGAAGAGATAATAGCTGAAGATTATGTCAACATTTGAGTCTTGCTTAGTCTTATTTTCTACAATAGCCCCATAAAGAAAATTAAACAAATTTCACATCTTAAAATTTCTTACAACCACATAATCAAGGAACTCCAGATAGGAAGTGACATCAACCAAACTGATTCCAAACTTCCTTCATGGAATGTTCTCTGTTGCTGCATCAGCAGGTAACCCTTTTGCTCTATATTAGAAGGAAAAACAATTCCAGGGACACCTAATCCAAGAACTCATGGCTCATTTCCTGCCTGATCCAGAGAAAAGACAGGATCTTAAAAGTGTTCCTCTGTCTTAAGAGCTACTTAGGCAATACCTTGAAGAGCACAACGGGAATTGGAAGTGAAAGCTTGGGAACTAGCACTGAAAGCTGTCATACATAGGTCCAGTCACCAACCATCTGTTTAACACAGAGCACATTTTTCCCCAAGGACAAAACCAAGTTTTTATCATTAAAGTGCTCTCATACTTCACCTTGTGAGAAAGAGTTGAACCCAAACCTTTCTCTAAAAGCAATTATGTATGTGAACGATGTTTATCAGACAGAACTGAAGGATGTGACAGATTAAGTGTCCAAAGCATTTCAGATTATTTGACACTGAAAATCAGATATCAGCTATTTTTCCAGGAACTGATCTTACTACTGCAAAATTTGCTACTTAAGTTGTTCAGTCTCTGAATTCTCTGAGTATATTTCCTTCATTGTGATCAAAAGGCATCACATGCTTTCTCTGGAACACAACTCAGTTACACGAATAATTTTAATAATCCAGGAACATGAAACTCGGCAAAAGAACAAATACAAGATTACTGGCTGACTCCCAGCCTCTGAGGTTCATTTCCAACAATAATTTTGTACCATGCTTTTTAAACAAAACATCTTGTGTCTCAGCTGCTGTGAAGCCCCACACACATTAAAAAATGTTAGATCTCAAGCTTTGCATGCTGCTTAGTAATCAGGGTATGTTCCTTGATGCTCAGATCTCTTTTTTGTCCCCTGCGTGCCTGAAGCACAGCTGCTATGTGCTCTCAGCAGCCCCTCTGAGCAGTGTCCCATTCTGGGCATATTCTCAGCTGCAGCCCAGGTCTGCTGGTATTTTCCTACTCCACTACCAAATGTAATAGGCAGAGCTACTCAGCAGGTCACAGATAAGTCACCCATGTGTGTCTGGCAGAACCAGAAAGCAGAGAAGCATCAGCAGCCACCAAAAGAAAACACATGGTCAGTCATCATCAGAATGGGATTGAGAACATTGGGGAGGATTGCTCCTATCTAAAAACCACATTGCAGCCATATCCTGTGCACTGCACACAACTTTCATTTCTGTGGCTGAAGGATACTATTGAGCTGGAGAATGCACTAGAGGACACCAAAAAATCTTAATGGGAAAGGAACAGTTGTCTTGCTGCAAGAGACTCAGGACACCGCAGTCCTTCAGTATCAAGAGGAAAAAGCTAAGGCAGAACTTGGGATTCAAAAAACCTTAGAGAAACTGAATACAGAACTGTTTTTCACCAATGACATACCCAAGAAAAGTTCTACTGGGCACCTGGTGAAACCAACAGATCAGTTTAGGAGAGAAGGAAGTACCTCAACACAGCACGTAGACAACCCTGAATGCCAGAAGTGTGTAAACCTCCTCAGGTTTTCTCTGACCCTCCCTAGTCAGGGATCCTTGGAGTGGCTACAACTTCCTCAGTACCAGCATGCAAATATGACAGGCTTGGGAAGCAGAGCATTAGGGAAAAAAAAGTGCCTTGGAAATAAAAAAGCAGTAAAACAGAGTAACTTAATGCTATCAGTCTTATTAAAATCATAGCACAGAGCAATATATGGGATACTTTTTCCTAACCAATTTATTGAAGCACTCACCTGCATATATTTGTCTTTAATCTGTTCACAGGTGGAGATACAATTGGAGATATAAAGATGAATAAATTCAGGTGGGAGATCAACTGCAGTAGTAAGCCTGTTCAAATAAAATATATTCAGTGGTTTATGAAGCCATAAAACTAGTGTTTTGTAGCAAAACAAATTATATCAATTAGACCTGTTATATGAGTTTATTCCCAGTTCTGTCATACAGAACTGATTTTTGACAGCTTCCAGATGTATTTCTAGTCATTTAAATTTCTAAATTAAGAGTAAAACTTTTAAAAACTCTGACAGTACAGAAGCTAAGTTAGATTTGTTTCTACTACATCTGACATTTGAGTTGGCACTGCTTCTTAACCGAAAGA